TGTTTAAATGATAATCTATTCATTTCATTTATATAAAGCCCCCGTCACACCTTTACGATTTAGACCAGCGTATGCTTGATGTACAAGAAATCTGGCATATGTTGCATAGGTTATGGGTAAGTTTTGAGCACGTGCAACGTGTTTCTAACTTACAGCTACCGTACTGGGCAGGCGGTGAACAGCAGCTAGGTTAATACTGTGATCAGAGACATCTTTTTATGCAGATCGGGCGCCTCGGGCGCATCTCTGCTCCCCTCAGAAGCTTCCCTGAACAGTGATGCTTGTGCATCATTTCATAGGCATTACGCTGCCATGCTTTATGCATAAGTTAGACTGTCGTTGGACATACCTTCTGGACTCATTATAAATATGCTATGTATACGCCCAAAATAAAAAAAAAATACATACATAGAAAAGTTCAGCATGTGCCAGCATTTTCTGGGACATCAGGATAAATCGGCAAGGTGTGACATGGCCCTAACCTAACCCAGATCTAAACTTATCGACTTTCCCTCTGACCTGTCTGTTTTTTTATTTCTGTTTACTGATGCTCTTTAACAAACCTTTAGGGCCAAAGACAGAACCGATCAGTTACGCTCGGATGAAATTACATACAGCTGGACGGTTTATTTAGGGGTATCAGCGTAAATAGGGCTGTGTACAAATCCAAGCAGCATTTTTCAAATCTTCTTTGTTAAACATTTAATTTTTCTCCTTCCTCCTCACATTCCTGCCCTGCTTTTGTTGGTATCAATACTACGGAAGCTCGGTACATTTACAGTTCGAAATTGAAACTGTTCATATTTTAAGAGTATCAGGATTTGATTATAAAAAGAAAAACTGTGAAAATATTTGTTTTCTGCAGGTCTGCTCTCTGTTTCCTCGGAGTCTTTCTCGTCACTAAATACAGGAAAAAGCCCAAGATCTTTGAGCCGTACGTCACCATGGATATGGCTAAGGGTTGGTATTAAATCTAAATGCTAAGTTCTACATTTTATTAACAGTCAGGATAGAAGAGCTTAGTTTGGAGCAATTCGTATGCTTTTTTTGTTTAATGTTTTTCCGTATCTTCCAGGTGTCCCGACCATTCATGACAACGGCCTCGTCGTTCAGCCGGACTTTAATGGCTCTTTCTCCTACGGCTCCCTGGTTAATAATGACGGCGTTGCCCCTGCCTCTCTGCCGGTCAACTTGGAGCATCCAGTTGTGACTGTGAGAGGCACAGACGCACCTCATGGTCATCCTGACCTGAAGGAAGATTGAAACTTATCGCTGCCTCACAGAAAACCCCCCTGATGGGCGTTTTTCAGCAAACTTTTCATTTCCAGTCTCGCCTTAAACTTTAACATGTGCTTCCTTTTTTAAACCAGCTGAACCAAAGCTGTTCAGGGAAAAGCTTTCTTTAAGGACTTGTTTGATTCATATTTAGGCTTCCTGACTTCTTCCTTGGAAAAGTTTAGCTTTTTTGTATCTGTGACAAGTTTCCGTCTCTATAAATGCACATTGGGGAAACGAGGAGTTGTCTGGATAAGCTCAAACTGGTGAAGCTTGCATGACTTTGTATTTATTTTGACAACTGATTTTGTTGCATATTCTGTGTAGAAGACTCATAGATCTCAGAGGAACAAAAGGTTGGCAGCAGAATGAAGGGATGTTTTCTTTTTTAATTGAAGTTGTCTGTCATCCTTAATAAACCCACTCAGCAGTGACTTCTTCCATATCAATATTGAACATGTACCATGAAGTTTTATTACTAGTGCTACCCTGCATACTGGGCTGTTCTTCTGGTAAATATTTGAACTAATCTAGCTGCAGGGTTTTTGAGCTGACAGTGTAAAGTTACAGCTGTACAGTTTCTCTGTATTTTAAATGAAGTGTAAACTGCCTCTTTATGTCGTGACTAGTTTCCCCAGTTTAACCATTTATATTAACTTCCTGCAACATGTTCTTGAATTACGTCTAGTTTTTTAGTGCATATTTAAAATGAAGCTTATTGCTGAATGAATTCAGGGTAATTTCTTGATTAAAAACAGATGATGGTTCAGATCTGTTGATGTAAACAAGGTTCAAATGTTTTTCAAAAGGGTGAATTTAACCAAACAATAAATAAAATGGAACATTTTTAATTACTTTTTTTATATAATTTCAAATTTTTGCAAAGTCATTTATGAAGGGCCTGTCCTTTCATTTATTTGCTTTTACTGCTGTTTAATATCACAATTTGTATTTAGTTCTTTATAAGAGCGACCAACATAACTAAAAGATATTTCATCCTGTGAGTCATACTGCAGCCTGTGCATGAAGGGCCTGTCAGACCAAAGCAGCATCACTCCATAAATGTTCTGCAACAGGATAGCAAAGAAAAAACAAACAAACTGAAATCTCTTCCAATCTTTTCATTATAACAAAGAAGAGAATCTCAATGGGCATCATATAAATAGATTTATTTTTCCAGGTATGTACAAATACATCAGTAAGTGTTAGTGTGATTAAATGGGACAGACCAAACCAACATAACTGAAGTATGATGAATATAAATCTGTCAATTTAAATTTTTACCTCTAAGAAAATCCAATTAGAAAGGTTGTCTTTAGGCTAAATCTCAGTCCACTTGTTCCTTTGGCTCAGAGGTTTGTTAAATAACAATAAACAAACAGGATCGTAAATACAAATGGACAAGGAAAACAGGTCAGTAATAAAGAACATTTCACAGTGCACACCAGTGCAATGGAATTCATGTAGGGAAGTTTTTAAGTAGATTTAGATTATAAAGCAGGGTTTGCAACCTTTAAAAAGAGCCATATTTGGTACAGCTAATTAAACTGGTTTAGAGCAGCAAACATTTCAATTAAACCTACTTATTTTAACATGTATCCACCAAAGGTTTCTGATATTTTTGGAAAATCTTGTTAAAGAAAAAAACTAAATTTTACAGTTAAGAAACAAACTGCTATTAGCCAGTGGAGAAAATGCTTAAACATGCATTTATAAGCTTAGGTATTGTTCAATAAATTAGCTGGCTCTACATCATTTTTAGCCAAAGTAATTAAAAGCCATGGTGGAGTGTCTAAAGACCCCTGTTGTAAAATACAAACATATAAAAGAACCACTGAACATCTGACAAAGCTCTATTCAGTCCCTCATCTGAAAATAGAGGCTACAGCTACAAAGCAAGACATGTTTATCTGAAGTGACATCCTGAGCAACAGGATCTAGAGATGCATCGATCTAATTTTCCAATTGGATATCAGCTCCGATATTCACTAATTATCTGGATTGGACATTGGACAAATGATGCTGATCCAGTATTCCAGTTTGGGTATCTCTATTTTTATTCATGTACACCAAAATGCAATTACAGCAATCTAATGACTTAAAGTTTATTATTGCAACTCTGATTATGTAATCATGCAGAGCACACACAGCAACTAGTGATGATTTATATCTGAATGAATTTGTTACCTTTTTTGACAATGTTCATGATGCATTTATTCACTTGGCGGGGTGTACGGTTAATCCATTGAACATTCTTATCGGATCGGTATCGGATATCGGAAAAAGGCTAAGCCCATGCATCGCTATCGGATTGGATCGGAAAAAGATGAATTGGTGCATCTCTATCAGAGGTTTATCAAAGAAGCTGCTAAGAAGTCTGGTAAATATGGGGGAACATAAATTCTAAAAAGGTGATGTAAAAGTAGATTTCATTTGAAAAACTGAACTTAAAATGTTTAAATGAGGCATAGTGTTTAGTAGCCTAAATAAATTTTATTCTGTAATTTTTGCAGATTTTTTAGCACACTACTACAAAAAGAGAAAGCCTAATGTGTCTACCAATGGATAGACAAAGCCGGACTGAAGGACAGCACAGCAGCACTCATCATGGCTGCACAGGAGCAGGCCCTAAGCAGCAGAGCAATAGATGCCCAGATCTACCACACTAGGCAAGACCCCAGGTGCAGACTGTCAAAGAGGCCCCTGAGACAATCCAGCACATTACTGCAGGGTGTAAGATGCTGGCAGGGAAAGCTTACAGGGAGCGCCATAACCAAGTGGCTGGACTAGTGTACAGGAAGATCTGTGCAGAGTATGGGCTGGAAACCCCAAGGTCAAAGTGGGAAACCCCTCCAAAGGTGGTATAGAATGATCAAGCCAAGATCCTGTGGGACTTGCAGATACAGACGGACCGATGGTAATGGCAAACCCATTGTAATACCCATGGTAATGGAAAGCCGTTGTGGTTGACATAGCAATACCAAGTGACTGCAACATCAGGAAAAAAGAACATGAGAAACTAGAGAAATACCAGGGGCTTAGAGAAGAGCTGGAGAAAACCTGGAAGATCAAGGCATCAGTAGTACCCGTGGTCATTGGGGCACTCGGGGCAGTGACCCCCACACTGGAGGAGTGGTTACAGCAGATCCCTGGAAATACATCAGACGTCTCAGTCCAGCAAAGTGTAGTGTAGAGGCTTATCCTCCCATGACGGAATCTCTAGCACCTATATATATCTCTCTATATAGATATATATACTGTATATATATATATATATATATATATATATATATATATATATATATATATATATATATATATATATATATATATATATATATATATATTCTTTTTTTTCTTCTTCTTTTCCTTTTAGAACTAAATATAATAGATGGAACCCAGATGCAACAGGTGAACAATGCAAAATGTGATCAGGATGCAAGTATTTAAGCACATTAAACTAATCTTAACTCAGTGGATGATGATGATGGAGTGAGCAGATTTAAAATGAACTAATTCGACTCACTGAAATGTCCTTCCTGAGTATTTAAAGCAGTTTTGTTTTTTTTCTCAGCAGAGCCACTTTATGCCTCAAGGTCTCCACCAATCTTGCTGCAGAGCGTCCTCCCCTTTGCTGCATCCTGATTGGTCGCTGCAGGCCGACGCCGGCTTTTCATTGGTTCCTGCAACCCCTCGCAGCGACGGTGTTGTTTCCGCCGTGATCACGCCCAATGATAATCCACGGACAACAAACGCCCACGCATCTGAAAGCTTCCTCGAAAATAAAACCCCCAGTCCGATTCATTCAACAAAGTCGCAGGAAGATTCAGATTTCCTTCCTCCTGTGATGGAGGGTTCAGGCCGCTTTCATTGACAGCTGCTGGGTGAGTGGTGATTAGGAGAGAGAGAGGCGGGTGTTTGGGTTCAAATCTGAAACTGTAACTTCATCATATGTTTACATGGATTAGTCCAAACTTTGGACTGAAATTCCTGCTAAAATAAAGCTTTTAAAAAGGCGCTTTTAACTAAAAACAAAACAACCTATCAGTTTATTTCCGCTCGTGACTGTGGAGCAGGAGTTAGATGGGCTCGTTTTGACAGGATGCTTTCATTTTAGCAGAGTGATAATGAATCAGTGAATTAAAGTCCTATTTGCTGTCGTTAATTTTAACCTAGAGCATTTATAAGGAGGAACTTCCTACATTTTTACGAGCGTCTCTTTGAAAGATTCCAGAATCTACCACTAGATGGCGCCCTACTCTCATTCAACACTGAGATAAAAGTAATGGGGTCAGGTAACATCCATTTAAGGCTTTAGACAGGTGCATCTCAGCAAATGGTATCAAAACATTGTTGTTTATCTCATCAATTCAACTCATAAAGTGAATTTATTATTATAGTTCAATTCCGTTTATTTCTATAGTGCCAATTCACAACACATGTCATATCAAGGCACTTTACAGTTCACCAGATCATACAGCAAAGTTGATTCAAAGTTTTCTATCTAAGGAAAACCAGTTGATTGCATCGACTCATTGACTCGAATGCAATGCCTCACACTAAGCATGCTTGTTGTAGCGACAGTGGAGAGGACAAACTCCATTTTGACAGCAAGAAATCTCCAGCAGAACCAGGCTCAGTGTGAGTGGCCATCTGCTGAGACAAAAAACACCAGGATTTTTTACTTTATTATCTGAACTCAATTTAATCCCATCCAAATGAAGTGACTGACTGATCAGCTTCTTTTACAAAGAATCTGGTCCAAAGACTATGACTTCTGTTTTGGTCTGCATTCAGAAGCAGAAAGTTAAGAGTCATTCAGGTTTTTATGTCTTCAAGACATGCCTGTAATCTATGTAATGTTTTAGCTTCATCTGGATTTATAGACAGATACAGCTGAGTATCATCAGCATAACAGTGGAAATTAATCCCATGCTCTCTAATAACTCTACCGGTTGGGTAGAGTTTTGATATATAGTGCCCTCCGCAATTATTGGCACCCCTGTTTAAGATGTGGTCGAGGACTTTAAAAAAATTCTCCTTTTCTTTTAAACAACAAAGAACGCATCATTTCACATTTTTTGTTTTCTAAATGCATGATTTTATTTTTTTACCACCAAAGTAATGTACTTAAATAAAAGGTTGGATTTTTCTCCTTTTTTGCATTTGGGTTCTTTGTTGTTTAAAAAAAAAAAAGAGAGAGAACTTTTTTGAAGTCCTTGAACACATCTTCAACAGGGGTGCCAATAATTGTGGAGGGCACTGTAGATGATGTATTTCAAGCATAAGGTACGTTTCCTTTTTGGCCTACTTTATTTAATGCAGGTTCCAGTTTCTGTTGGAAGATTCAACTGGCTTTTATAAAGTTAGTCTGTAGAAAGAAGAATGAAGTGCTCTAAATTCAGCAGTACTAGCAGATAACATCAGTACTGAAATCCACACCCACTCTGGGAAACATTTCATATGTGGGTTTCATTTGGAAACATTTCCAAAAAAATAAAAAAAGTAACAACAAAATAAAGCAGCTTAAAAAAGGATCTATGGAACACAGTCATTTTTTCCTTAGCCCAGTTACAGATGATGCTAATATCTCAGGTTTAGGAGATGTTTAAACAGAGGCATAGCCAGACATTTTTATAAGGGTGGACAGGAAATAACCAATGTACACTGAAGGGTGGCCGAAAGTGGATAGGCACCAGAACCTCACGGTCAATCTACACTGTTCCAACAGGAAATTAATGAGCAAAACATCCATATTTTCTAAATTAAGACTAACTATATTTTCCTACAGCCTTTGCTAACAAATACAGTAGACGCATTTATTTTACATCTGTAATTTCTACATAAAAGCTATAGTGGACAAAACTCTGTTTTGAGTATTTGGGTGTAAATCTATTCCATTGTCATTACTTAGCTACTTGTATCAATAAACATTCTGCATAAAATGTATATTTACAAGCAATAATATCTACATAAATTGATTATTTGATTTTATTAAAATTGTTATTCATCTTTGATTTCACTGAAAACTCCTAGATGACTTGCAGAGACACATAATTTTCTCTTTACCCCATATAACACAAAATCTAGCTCTGAAAAGAGCATGAATCTTGTACTTATCATATTTGATGTTGGTATATTGATGTGTATAATTAACCACAAAAAATTAAAATGTTTTGAATATTTCACTTGAGAGTATTACTGCTGCCACCATCTGTATTAAAGGAGGAAAAAATGGTAGGGGTGGCCACAGGGGTGGCCATGGCCCCCCATCTAGCTCCGCCCCTGTGTGTAAAACAAGAACATCAAATGGCCAATGCTGCATTAGATATGCTCGTCTGTTTTTTTGTTGTTGTTTTTTTTGGCTTTGCAACACAATTCAACTAAAAATATTAGATATTCCTAAATCTTTTTCTGCCACACATCCCTTTAGACTTAACAGTTCTCTCTTGTAAATGAAACACCTCATATCAAAGGACTAACCTGTATTAATAATAATATTCAAAAACAAAATAACTGCTGAACATCTAAAAATGCCATCAGTTAAATTCCTTATTTTTCTGTCTGCTGCACAACTGTGGATTTATGAATGAATTAATAAAGTTTATTTTGAACATTACAACCAAGCCTGCTTCAGGACATACCCTGTCAAACAGGCCTCAGGAAACAAATACAATAAAACAATTAAATCCGATAATAAGTCCAAATTAGGGGTGAATGGGAACACTGATAAAATCCCACCCCTCTCCGTTTTTTATTAGTCAGTGTCAATTAACCAGTCTTCTTTCCTAAACTAAAATAAATAAATAATTGTATGACATGTCACCCAATTTAACAGGCTGCCGTCTCTAAGCAATCATTTCAACATATCAATACAATTAGATAATTATTGGTGAGTAATAAAGTGAATAGGCAATAGCCATGGCTTATTATACCTCTATTGCTCAAATATCATTTGTTTCAAAGTTTCATGCTTCTACTTTGTTTCACTTCTGTAGGTAAGCTGTTCCACAGCCGTACAGCACGTATGGAAAGAAAAGCTTCTTGCTGTTGTTTGTGCTGTTAAAGTTTTTAGATCTAAATTACCTCTTAGATTATACCTGCCTCTCTGTCTGCAAACGTCTCCTGTATTTTATCTGGTAATGTATCCCATCTGGCTCAGAGCATAACTCTACTGTTTGAAACTGAACTAAATCTGTAAATTAAAAAGGAATTTAAATATCATCAAATTAATGTACAGTAAAAGAGTTGAGGTGATTTATGGTCCAAAACATGTTTTGCTTTACTTAAAAATAGTTTTTTGACTGCAGATGTTTAATATGCAATTTCCACTTTAAATGATTATCTATTATCAGCAGAGAAATTAAATTTGATTCATTTTTTTAATATTGGAAACCCATTAATTTGAATGTTTATGTTAATATTTCTACTATAATGGCCAGGTATTATGAATTTAGTTTCTTTCAAATCATTTATATCAAATAACTTTTATTTTCCCATTTTCCCATTTAATATCACAGGTAACATCATCCAGAAGTAATTTGGTCCCAATGAAGAACAAGTTTGTACATTAGCATTCCCTGTTATCGTCTAGGTCAGGGGTCGGCAACCCAAACTGTTCAAAGAGCCTTATTCAACCAAAAAAATAATAATATATATATATATATATATATATATATATATATATACATATGATAATCATTTATGATTAACTGTTTATCCTGGAGATGTCACATCAAGTGACTACTGTATGATATCTGGTGCTTTAAGTTTAAATTCCTTTACAAAATTAATGTATTAGGTTTTGTTGCATTGATGAAATTATAGAAACACAATAAAGAAGTGAGATTTTTATTGTAATTTTTATTTTGATGATTAGGGGGGAAAAATAAAAGAAAGCTCACCTAACTGCATCAGAACTACCTGTTCTACCTCTACCTGTTCGATCTGTGGTTTTCCATGCTTGCAACAAAATCCATCTGTTTCCATTTTCTTACATTATTTAAAAAGCTCCAGGGAGCCGCAAGGGGGGGGCGGCGCTAAAGAGCCGATCTAGGTTATAATTTAAAATTATAAGTTTTAGAAATGTCTTCTTTTTTTTTTTGTCTTACATTTTTTTGTCCTTGAAATTGCCAGAAAAAAAAATACACCCACAGATATTATTTAAGACCTTTATCTTTATAAATTATAACAGTTATTAAGATTATCACATGTTTTTGGATCCAAGTCGTAATAGTTGAATCAGCTTTCTACAAATGCATGAAGGTCTTTCTGTTAACTTTAGATGTATTACTACAAAACAACAGAGTAACTGAAAGACTAAAACAGCTGCAAACTGAATTGAATTCCATAAGATGAATAGTAAGGTTTTAATATCCGTCTGATATTTGGCAAAAACTAATAAAGGATTTTATCGGTTTTATTCTGATATTTACATTCTGATAGAAACATTTTACTTCTGTTAAAAGTTACTGTAACTTGTTGCTTAATTTTACCTGTTTTCATTTTTGTTGTTGACTTTTGTTCCCTATTTCAGTAATATTGATCAAGCCTTTCCTAATCTAACATATAAAAAAAGTATTTAAAGCTGATATGATTGGTCCTGATATCATATTGCATCAGTATCACTTTTGGCGAATTCTCAATGATGCAATAATTATCTATCGGATATGAAAAAGTTGTAGAAGGACTCCCCTTCATCGACTTAATGTCCCTCTTTTTTATCTGTTAGCTTCAGCAGTAGTCACCTGCAGCAGCTCCCTGACAGGATTCAACATGCTGCAAAAGAACTTTAAGGCATGGAGTAACGGCTCTGAGGCCTACAGCAGTGATCCAGAGGAGGATGAGGAGGAGGAAGAAGACATGGTGTTCGGCGAAAGTGACCAGGATGGCATGGCGGAGGAGATGATGGACTTGAGTGACCTTCCCACAGCACTCTTTGCATGCAGCGTCCACGACGCTGTGTTTGAGCAGGACATCCACAGGGTGAGACGACGCTACTGCGTCCCCTTTCTAATGCGTGTGTGAGCGTTAGTTTGAGCCAGAGCATCGGTGGATTCCTGTTTGAGTCATCTCCTCTGCTGTTTCAGTCGATCCAAGATTCCAAATCCCAGCGACACGTGCGTGTTGTTACTCAAAGCCGGTGCTCCTGTCTCAAGCTGCCCTGCTTAGCTCTCTGTTGCAGAGACACACACTAACACACACATACCTGATGCTGCTAAAATTTGTTTAGCAGGAACCATGATTGCAGGTCAGCGGATTACAACCCGACTTGCACAGAATCAGGAGCCACATTGAGAGCTTAATCCATCTGTGTCCGCATATCGTTCTATCATCAATCCATGATGCATGTCATTCATGCCCAATTATGCCTCTGCAGAATGTTTCCCTACAGGCCTCATGCAAAAGCCCACGCACATGCATGTGAGGCAGACAAAAAGAGATCTTTCTTCCTCTTCAGGACATTTTTTTTTTTTAATGTTTTGATTAAACTCCTGAAGCAAGGGGGTTCAGGATCATTGGATTCTGTTTTCTGGAGGAGGATGCAAAGAAAATGCTTGTAATTTTCTGCCTGCTAATCTAATTACACTGTCCAGAGATTCATCATCCTTCCAGCTGGCATCTTTAGACCTCTTCTACTTCCAGTGTTTTTTTTTTCCTTTTATTGCTGTCAGGTCCATCCATCTCCCCCCCTCTACTGTATCCGCCTCTTAGAGCTCTTCAGCTCGCCTCCCGCATGACAATATTACTCATTAAGTTTCCTCTTCCTTTCTTGATTGATCCACTGTCTGTTCAAATACAAAGCAGGGAGGCTAAATTTGGCTCTTCCACAAAATCCCCTTAAATGGATCACTCCTGCTTTGTGAGGTTGCTGTTTGTACACCCATTGCTCCTAGCGGTGGAGTCTGCCCCCCCAATCGTTTTGCCTTCTCACTTCATTACGATTCACACTCAAGCTTTTAAGTGGAAATGACACCTACGCACACTTCAGATAGAAACATGTCAATGAAGCTTGCTCTGTAGGTTTTAGTCAAACAAGCTGCACCAGAAATAGTTTAGACATTTATTCAAACATGGCTAGAAGGAAGACTGCATGCAGGGATGAAGCTTTGAAATAAGAGTCAGACGTGCAGATTATAACGATTTCTTTGGTTTCATTCATCTTCTTCACAAAATTCCTCTGGAAGAATTTGGGGAAAAAAACTAAATAATTTTCCAATTCCTACAAATATGACATCATTGAATATGGTGTTGTTTGAGCAAGAACATTGCAACCTACATATTTTTTTTCCTTTTTTGTCTTTGAGCTCTTGGCATTCTTCCAGAACAGACATTACTTTCTGTCTATTCTCAAAAGCCTTCCTGCAGGAGGACGCACGGTTTCTGTAATCACACTGTCTTGGAAGGCAAAAGGGAAGGAAGGGGCAGACAGCATAAGGAAAGGCAAAATCCCCCTGCTTCAGATGCTGTACACAGACGATAAAAGCCTTTCTTGCTCTCTTTTCATCTGCACGTTTACTTTTAATTCTGCCTTTTTCTTTTCCTTGACCTGCTATGAGCTGAAACAGATATGTGGTCTGAGTTCCATGGGCTGGATTGTCTTAAGGAAATAAGTAGGGCTATTACTTATTTACCAACATTGATGAACTCTCTTAATCAAAACAGAGCTGCAGTGCAGGACTTAATGGCTTGAAATGTTCTGCAATCCCCCTATGGGGTATTTAATATAAATCTTGTCCAGGAATATCCTCCTTAGTTTTATTAGACAAAGATAATTACAAATAAATGTCAGTAATAACCTTTATAAAGTCAGTCATAGCAAAAAATGCTTTTTCACAACTTGGACATTAGTTTAAAGAAAAACAGTCGCTGTCACTGGTTAGATTAGGTGCTAAAAATCTATGTAGTCTAAGCCTATAGCAAATGCGGTGGTGGTCTGATTCACATAGCTGCTTGTTGGTGGGTGAAAGTGTTAAGTTCTTGTGTTGGTGTTGTATTGTATGTTGAAAGCAGAATGTTAACTCAACACTTGTTGAGTCTAAAGGGCTCATTTTGCATGACACATAGACTTCCGCACGGAAAATGAGGCACCTATCTCGGCATCTGCAGCATCTTTATTCTATGCGGCTTTCTTCCTGTTCTGACCAGCTTTTTTGGTGGGTGGGGTTCAGCACATAATGCAAGCTGACTACATGAGAAAGTAGAAAACACAGCCGTTTACAAGTTTGTCAAAGTGTCCTTATGCATTTTGTTTTTGATAGCAGTTATATTTCTGGGCATATCTGTAGATGTTTACATTTGCAAAGCTGCTGCCCACTCACCATGTTTTCAACGTGGATCAGTCCACTTAGTTACAGATTTTGCTCCGTGTGGCCGCGTGGTAAGGCAGCCAAGAGCAGTCGTCTCCCTCCGATACTTTTTCATGGCAGTTTCCTCGAGAAAAATAGTTAATTTTCTCATTCTCTAAATATAACAAGCCGTTTTCTCATCATAAGATTATTGGAGTGTGTTAAAACCGATTACATCCTTCAATACCACAACAGTGGGAGAGGACTTATAAGTATAAATCATGGCAGCCTATGTGTAATTCTGTAAACAATCCTGTGATTAACTTTTATGTAACAAGGTGATGTTGTTGGTTTGATGATTTGCTTCCACCCCTGATTCATAAACAATTAGACCTATGCCCCTGGGGCCTTAGTGCTGGTGTTCTGTCACCAGGTGTTTTCTGAACAGCCTCGGTGTTATGCCTCTAAGAGGTATAAAATGCATTAATACAAAATGAGTCCAGATTAAAGATTTTCAATAAAAACATTCAGATTTGATTGTACTGTTCTCCATGTCATCCAATCATCCACCACAACCTGACAATAAGTGAAAAAAAAAAAAAAAAAAAAAAAAAAAAAAAAAAGGATTATTTGCGTACATGCGGTACCATGACAGTACAACTACGGTCACCGCATGCATGGATGGACTGGGAATCCAAGGCTGTTGGGCAGCCTCATTCATTACTCACACCGATTAATGATCTCGTTATCTCAAGAAATCAATAACTGTTTTCTCAAGATAACCAGATAATTATCTGGTTATCTTGAGATTATCAACTAATGGTTTAACCCTGGTTACGAGATAGTGATGTCTTTATCTGGAGAAGGCAAAGGTGGGAATGACAGCTCTCGGCTTCCGTAGCGCGGAGAGGCATGGAAGCCCAAAATGACGTAATTTGTCGGCATGGGCCTCACGGGCGCCGCGTCTAGCATAAATCCAGCTCTATTCAACCATGCAAGGCTTAATTCCTCCAAAGTATTAATGTTTGGACATTACAGGCTGCAACTTGGAAAACATAGCGAGCCAGTAGGAAAAAAGTGTGTTTGGGCACCATAATAAGCCAAGGTGGTTTCCATGTTTGATAAGATGAAGGTCAGGGAATCCATTATAAATCGTCCTAATCAACACCTAAGCTTCCAGTGTAGCGCCTGCTGTTTTCCTCCTGAGCTTTGCCTTGTCCACAATCAGAGACATCATGCAGCTGCAATCATTATGCAACATAAAGATGTTTGCTTTTTTTTTTTAACCTGCAAGCAAAAAAAATCATTAATATTTATAAATAGCTTTCCAGTGCTGTGATGGAATTCTCTTAAGTCTCTGTTTGCTGGTGAAGGTTTTCAGTCATCCAGGTCATAGACATTCCAAAAAAAGAAAATTAAATATAATCCACTGGACTTTTTATCCAAGGTTGATGACGTTTCGCTTCCCATCCAGAAGCTTTTTTAATTCAAAATGTCGGGAATAGCGTTGAGTTCGAGGTTTTATACAGTAGCACGACGACGCCTTGTTTTTGTTTTGAAAACATTCAAATTGAAACAGACGAAGTGGTCCACCCCTTTGGAATGGGGGTCGTTTGGCTTCTTTTGTGCCCCATATAATCTAAGTTTGAGAGAGGCGTGAAGGAAGCCATATATGTTAAGAAAGAAAAACCAACCTTAAACAGAGGGGGTGAACTCAGGTTTCAGCTTTCAAAAACCTACAATGCAGCAATTGAGTTAATCCCTTCCCACTATCATCGCAGCCCCAGGCCCTGTACAGGAGAGCGGGGGATCTCGTCTATTCAGCCAGGCCAACAATAACCTTTACTACCCCCCTTTCAGACACTTACATGGGTAAGGGGTATTGCAGGTTAACAAAAGAAGCCAAACGACCCCATTCCAAAGGGGTGGACTCCTTCGTTGGTTCCAATTTAAATGTTTTCAAAACAAAAACAAGGCGTTGTTGGCCTACTGTATAAAACCTCAAACGCTATTCCCGACATTTTGAATTGAAGAAGATTAGTGGATGGGAAGCTAAACGTCATCAAGCTTGGGTACAAAGTCCAGTTCATTTTTTTTTTTCAAAGTTTCTGCTATCATTAATCACATAGAGTGAAACATATTTATTTCTTTCACAAAACTATGATGTGAGAAGCTTACAGGCAGGGGGGGATTTACCATTAGGCAATACTAGGCAGTTGCCTAGGGCCCCAAGTTCTGGGGGCCCCATAAAACTCTGTTTCCATGTATGGTTAATACAACTAATCCTTATTTGTGCACATTAATTATGTTTTTGATAAAAATCCTTTGGCTAAAATGCCATCAGAACGCTGATAAATAGAGAGGAAAAAGGGACAAGAAGAGAGGGACAAAACCTAGAACAAATAATGGATGTCTATTCTATTAACATTTCTCTATCTGTAGAATGGGTCTGTTTTATGGGTTTTCTTCTCAGGGGGCCCCCTGCCTGTCTTTGCCTAGGGCCCCAAATTTCCTAAATCCGCCCCTGCTTACAGGTACCAACGCACCCACTCAGGGTAATGTGATAACCCTGTGTGGGTTTCTAAGCTCTCTCTATTGTGGTTCTAAAAACCCACAGCCTTACTGTTGGCACGCTATGTTTACCTCTAGACGCAAGCATCAAACAGAATATTTCCTACAGGAAAAATCCTTGATTAT